CATTTTCAGATCTTTTATTACTTTTCTACCTTCTCTAACTCTTTTTCTGCAATCCTCATATCCGCAGGTACAGTAATGTCAACTATCAGAGCCTCTTTCTTTTCTATTTGAATTACTATAATATCTGGTTTTCTTGCCTGAATGACGTTATCACATTGTACGTTGATATCCCACAGAATTTTCACAGCCTCATTCTCAACAACACTTTCTGGAATGTGTTCATGCCACTTATCGGAATGCTCAAGCCCGTGTTTCCTACACGAATCCCAGTGTATTTTCTTTGCCACGTTATCGTGACGCCTTTTGCATTCTTTCTGGGCTAATTTCTCGCACTCTGAAACAATATGTTGTATGCTTTCACCTCGTTTACCACACATTCTACACAGTGGACTGTCGCTGCTCATATCTATATAGTGCTCCACGTAGTTGGTCCTTATTGCTTGCTCTTGTGCAGCACATAGAAGAGCTTCCGTTACAACCTTCAAATCACTCCTTGACAGCCATTCCCAAGATTTAACCCTGTCTACCTTTTCTGTCATCTCTCTAACAAATTGCCCATACAATGTCTTTCCTATCCATTTTTGCTGGAGCTCTTCTGCATATCTCCTTTTGATTTCTTCCTTCTCCATTTTTTCCTCTGTCTGTATGATTCCTGATGCACACACACCTCTTATCAACAACTCTTCTGAGTTTGTCACATAAAAACCTAGGCTGTTTTCTTCTCCTTTTACACAATGCTCTGATAAGGCCACGGCCTCCTTCCTTCCTTTTTGTATATAGTCTGTCTACATCACTCTTTGGGTGAATGGCAGCATACGTTGTCAGTTTTTTTCTTGTCTTTCTATCGATACTTTTCAGTTCACTCTCTCTTCCAGCTTATTATTCCTGCTCCATATCTGAATATTGCTACTGCCCAGGTATTAATTGCAGTTATCTTGTTTCTCCCATTCAGCTTGGACTTTAGAATTAACCTCAACCGTCGCTTATATTTTTTTATTGTTTTCTCTTTCATCTCCTTCTCCTTCACCTTATCTAATCATTATAATTATTATTATTATTATTATTATTATTATTATTACTATTATAATCATTATTACTATTATTACCATTACTGTTATTATAATAATTATTATCATTGTTATCGTTATCTTCTTTTTCATTTTATTTTTATTATTATTATCTTTATCATCATCATCATCATCATCATCATCATTATCATCATTATCATCATTATCATTATAATCATCATAATCCTCATTATTCTCATCAGTAACATTAGTATTGGTAATAGTAGTATCTTTTTCATCACTGTCGTAATGACCTCATTATTATCATTATTGTTACATCTATTATCGTTATCATCATGAATGATTCTTCTAACAAATGAATGTCGGATTTATATATAATTTTCACACACACATATCTACATAAAAACATGCAAACATACACACACACACACACACACACACACACACACACACACACACACACACACACACACACACACACACACACACACACACACACACACCTAAGTTGCATCTCATCTGTATTTGTCTGTCTTTGTTATGCAAGCTTCCCTATCCTACGAACTGCTCCTCAAAGTTTAATGTGTTCCAGACGCAAAAAGCAGCTCATATGTCTTCTATTCTCTGTATCAAAACTTTTACCGTAATTGAATTGTGAAATTTACATTTGGCTTTCTGTTGTTATCGAATTATGAAGATGGATTGATATATATATAGAGAGGGATATATATATATATGTGTGTGTTTATATATATGTATGTATATATATACATATATATATATATATATATATATATATATATATATATATATATATATATATATATATATATTTTTTTTTTTTTTTTTTAACGTATACATGGATGAATAAAGAGAAAGATAGATATAGCTATAGATGGACGGATAAAAAGAAACATGGATACACAGATAGATAGTTTTTGAATAATATCCATTAAGATTTCTGAGTAATGTTGTGGATTCTTTATTTGTTTATTTTTACTACACATATCTAGTAATGAAATACTACTACTACTGCTATTACTACTACTACTAATGATAATAGTGATAATAGTAATAATAATGATAATGAAAATAATAGTAATAATAATGATAATGAAATTAATAGTAATAATAATAGTAATGAAATTAATAGTAATTATAATAATAATGAAATTAATAGTAATAATAATAACGAAATTAATAGTGATAATAATAACAATTAAATTAATAGTAATAATAATGTCATATACCCATATTCAGCGCAACGGGACGGCCCTTATTATCAAAGAAACGATATTTTAATCATACGCTATTCCAAAAGCACTATAATTAACTAATTTAACAAAGTATTTCGCCGCGATAGTAACGGGTATGACATAATATGTTAGATTAAGATTATTTTTAATGCGATATCACCTTTATATCAGACTCTTTTGGATGTTGATCTTGGGAATGGGAATCAGGAATCAGGAATCAGGAATAGCGGTGTTAAACTAGTTGGTCTTTTTGTATGTCTTAAACTTGTAGTTATTTGCTTATCAGATTTCTGGAGCAAAATAATAGATAACTATACAGGTAAATAATAATAAAATTGATAAATTATGAAACTAATTTATTGAAAAAAAAATGCAAATGATTATGCATCTTTACAGATTATTTCATCGAAATAATATCAGATATGTTTTCATGATTTCTCACCAAAGGTTTCCCAGGTTGACCCAGGTGTCATTCCTAAAAAACGTTTTTTTTTTAAATTTCTAATTAACAATAATAATGTCATTGCCTATAACAAAACGCCCTGTAAAATCGCGAAAAAAATCCTAATATATAGTTTGATAGATGAATAAACCAATATGGATAGATAGTTATACAGACAGATATATTGTTGTATACACACACACACACACATACACACACACACACACACACACACACATACATACATACACACACACACACACACACACACACACACACACACACACATATATATATATATATATATATATATATATATATATATATATATATATATATATATATATTATATATATATTATATATATATTTTATATATATACATATATATATATGTATATATACATATATAGACACACATATACAGAAAGAGAGGGAGCAATAGTAAGAATGAGAGATAGATTGATAGATATATCGACGTATAGATAAAGAATGATAGAGCCATGCATAGGCAACTAGATCGATAGATGTAAGTAGATGGATAGACAGAGATATAGATATAGAAAGATACATACATACATACATCGACAGACAGATAAATAGATAAACAAAATAATATAAAATAGATAAACAAGTAATTTGATAAAGATAGTCAGAAAGGTAGATGAACAGACAAACATAAGGGCAGATAGACAGATACAGGCATAGATATATTACATAAGTGTGCGTTTGTACATTTATGGTTTATATCCCACCGTTTTCGTAGTTTTTTTTTTTTTTCTTTTGTTCACTTCACTGTCAACTTTTCTTTTATTTTCTTTTTCTTTTCTTTTCATGTCGTTGCAGGACCTTGTCACCCCCCCCCCTCCCTCTTTTGCTCTTATTAAATCAGTCTTGATTTAATTTTTCGATTACGCATCTCATGTAAAGTGTTTGCCCAGTTTTTGATCATAAGATAAATTTCATCATGATTTCCTTTTTTATACCTTTTTTTCCGTCAAGTATTAAAGGGATATTGAAATTTTGATTAATTCTTCAATCATGGTATCAAAGGTATACTTCAGATAGGTGAATTCTGAAGACTTGTTCAGGTTAACATTCATCGTGACCTCGTTGTGATTTCTTTTTTTTTTTTTTCGTCTGCACTCCATGTTAACTTGAGTTCATTCAAGAAGGGTTTATATCTAAAAATATCAGTCTTGGAAAGTTTGTATGACACTAAAGGGTAAAATGTGGTAAGCTATTGTGGTATAGTTTGATACATTGAAGGTATATTAAACATTACACACACCCACACACCTTAACATATACATACACTCACACACACGCACGAACGCATGTGCCTGTGTATAGGTATATACATATATATTCATATATATGCACACAGACACACACATGTACAGACAGCTACGACCCGCAGTAAAAACTGACCTTCACAGGAACGCAGATGAGGATGAGCAGAAGATCCGCTGAGGCAAGCGAAGCCAAGAAGACGTTCGTTGTGCTTTTCATCCTGTTGTATCTGAGGAAGAAGTGTGTTAAGCTGACGATTAATCCTTAGAGAAGAGTGAAGGAGTTTATCTTAAAAGTTTATGATAGATAGAAAGTTTGGATATTTGAGATATGTTGAAGGATTTTGGCACTTTGGATATACAGAGGGGTTTTATACGTTTGTTTATGTAGGATTTAAAGGGGATGATAGGTATGAAATGGTTATTATATTAGTTTGAGTATTATAAGAATTATTATTTTTTCTTTTTTTTAAGCTTTTTCTTTTTTTTTGACCAGTTTGTGCTGTTCAAATGTAATATTAAAATGTAATATTAAAAATGTATTGTATATCTAACTTGAAATGTTAACATTTTCTGTATCAAAGAAAATGAGGCATTTGTTATATATATACTGTAATGTTTATATATCCCGTAATGCTTCTAAGTGCATATATATATATATACATATATATATATATAATATATATATATATAATATATATATATATAGATATATATATATATATATGTATATATACATATATATATATATAGTATATATATATATATAGGTATATAGGTATATAGGTATATAGGTATATAGGTATATAGGTATATAGGTATATACATATATATATATATACATATATATATATATAGGTATATAGGTATATAGGTATATAGGTATATAGGTATATAGGTATATACATATATATATATATATCATATATATGCACACAGACACACACATGTACAGACAGCCACGACCCGCAGTAAAAACTGACCTTCACAGGAACGCAGATGAGGATGAGCAGAAGATCCGCTGAGGCAAGCGAAGCCAAGAAGACGTTCGTTGTGCTTTTCATCCTGTTGTAT